GAGAGAGAGAGAGAGAGAGAGAGAGAGTGAGTGAGAGAGCGGTACACGTCATTTTCATGGTCTCTTCACGTTTCTACGGATTGAAGATAGATCTACAGTTTTCATTTCAGTGTATTCATTTTCCCACCCACGTGGACCATTTTGATGGCATACTTCAACTTATTTCAATATTTGGTTTTTTTCTTTCAGAGTACCACGTTTGGACAATTTTGCAGATAAGCACTAATCAAAATGTAATAAAAATCTTACCACTTTAGTCACATGTATGGCCCTTACTAATGTGTTTACACATCTTTTCGTGGATGTTATAACATTTAATAATAATAAATAACATTTATATAGCGCTCAACCCCGATTAAAGTGCACAGGCTCTGAGCGCTAAACAATACGGTACAACGTACAACAATAAAATAAAACGTTGTGTTCTTGCTTTTGCTTTTGTAAAGTGTTTTACGGCGCTCACAACTGCATAGGTCATATGAGCGCGCGGGACACACCTAATATTTTCAGTTGGTAGGAAATTTGGAATTTTGCCCGGGTGGCGGCCGAAGCCTACTCTTATCGAACGTTGTGTTCTGACTAAAAGAAAATCACTTCAAATATTCACCCTATTAATTTAAAAACAGAAACGACTTCAATGTTACCTCGGAGGATTCTGTCCTGCACTTGCGTCAGTGGGACCTGCAAGTGTTGAAGATTCGCAAGAAGGGCCTCTCGCACGCTCTTCTGGGTTCAGATCATAATAATAAATAGGATATGTATAACGCATAACCCCGCTCTACAGCAAGCTCCATGCGCTTTACACTGTATAGTATTACCCCCATTAGACCATAGAACACTTAGGTACATTCTCTGCTTCCGGGGAAGAAAATAGTGCGAAAAACTGATAAAGCGCCCAAACACTAACAAACTGACAAGGTCTTTCATCGTCTATAGCCATATACCCATTCCCACCTGGGTGAAGAGAGGAAAATTCATGTGAAGTGCCTTTCCCAGGGACGAAACGTCAGGTCCGTGACTGGATTCGAACTCACGACTTTAGGGTTGCGAGTCTGAGAGCCTAACCACTAGGCTACCGACGCCACGTCATCCCACATGTTTTACTGGGAGGGGGGGGGGTATGTCTGGTGTTAACGCTGGCCAAAACCATGACCTTCATGTCATGACCTTCCAGAAACTTGAGTGGTTACACGGGCAGTGTGAGGGCGGGCATTGTCCTGTTGGAGAGCCAAGAGTTGCGGGTGCGTTTTAAAGATCGGAACAACATTAGGTCTCGCGACCTCGTTTACGTGTACACCTGTGTCGTTACCGGGTCTCTTAAAGCGTGAAGAATTATTGTTCACGATGAAAGCTGACTCCGCTCCACACCTGA